CCTTTCTTTCTCTGTCTCTCCCTTCCCCCCGTTTTGCTGTGGACAGTCAAACAAGAGGGACCGTTTACCTGCAGGCCATTTACCGTGGTCCTACAGGAAGACTCCCTCAGCCACCTCGCTCAGAGCTGGGTGACACAGCAGGGACCATCTTAGAGCTGACAGAGAAGGGACGCTCACTAAACCAGCAGCGAACACTAGAAATAACAAGATTAGCAATGACGGAGGCAAGGTTAGTGCATCACTCATGCCGAGGAATATTATTAAGTCCTATAAATTTTAGGCCCCAAACGTCACCGAGGAAGAAAGCCATGAGGCAGCGGAACCCGGCATGGCTGGCGGGGTGGTTCTGAGTGCCCCTCCCCCAGAGTCCCTGCACCCCAGGGAAAAGGAACGAGACCCGCAGCGGCAGCCGCTGTGAGCCGCGCAGAGCGGGGCGCCGCGCACCGGTGGCCCCGAAGCGGAAGCCAACGCGCCCGCCATGCGAGAAAAGGTTGAAACCGCAGGGCGCGGGGCGGGGCGCGTGCCGGTTCCGTTTCAGACTTGAGAAGCCCTCAGCGCCCCTTTCGCACGGGACCGGCAGGCGCCTCCCTGGCTCGTCCCCGAGCCTCCCGTGCGGCCGCCGGCACCGGTCTGAGGACACGCCGTCTCATGAGCGTCCAGGGCCCAGAACAGACTCTAGGGGAAGGGTCTTCCCCGCGCACCCTGACGCCCCTTTCTCTGCCGCCCATCCGCCCTGGAGACCTGGGGGCTCCAGCCTGGCCCCCCTCCCCACCCCGTCTCCGTGGTCCTGCTGCCTCTCACTGTCTGCCATCTGTCCTTCTCGCCTCTTGTCCACGGATCGGCACCCCCGCCCGGCCCCGCTCACTGCCTGGGCCTCGCCTGCTCAGCAGAGGACGTTGCTGGAGGACGCGGGGCTCTGCCAGCAGTGCCCGCGTGGACTCAAACGGCCACTCTGTCCCTCCGGCAGGTACCCTGGCTCAAGCAGGGCAGGAGCCCTCTGCCCCCCCATGCCCGCAGCCAGCCCGGGCTGTGCAACATGTACAAGGTAAGACGCGTGCACCCCCCACCCCTCCACCGGCCACGTCGCCAGCCGCACTCGCGCCGCTGTCCCTGTCAGCGGGCAGCGTCCGGGCCGTGCCCTGTCCAGGGGCCACAGCAGCCCGTCAACGGCATGTGTAAGTCGTGTCTGGCAAAGCGAGCAGGGCAGCTCCCAGGGAAAGCCAGCAGAGGGGACGAGCAGAGACGGGACGTCCCTGTGGGGGACAGCCGGGAGGCGCCCGAGGCCCCATGAAGGGCCTGCGGGTCGGGCTGGACGAGCCTCGGGGAGCGTGGCCACGGCCACGGCAGTGCAGGCTGCAGGGAGGTGGCCCGCCACCGCGGCACCTGCTTGCAACCTCTGAGGGAACCGGCACCTAACAGCTGCTCAGCGCTCACCACGTCTGAGCTGGATTAGACTCTCACACTAGGCCCTCGGGAGGCCACTCGCCAGGCTGTGCTCACCTGAGCTCGGCCGAGGGTCCTGGGGCTGGAGGACAAGCGTGGTCACGGGTCCTCCACCCCTCAATGCGGAGGCAGCTTCGGCTCAGAGCGCTGGGGACGTGCGGTGACTGGACGACAGACAGGAGAGGGAACAGGTGACCCAGAGGAGGCCCAGGTCAACCCTGACTCAGCCTGCTGCTTGTGCACGGTGGCCAAGCCACACGCAGCCCTGTCCCTGGGGACACTGTCAGACGACACAGGCACTGCACCTGCGGGTAGATAGGTCCGAACCGCGGGCTCAGTAGGGAAATAACAGACCAGCGTGACCGCGAGTGGGGCGGGGGCCGCTGACGCGGAGGCCGGAGGACCCGCCTGTCTCGGGGGAGGCCACAGCGCAGGCTTCCCGCCGCGGGCGGCACGCCGACCTCGACACCTGACCGGAGTGGTGCCCGCGAGCCACGAGCTTCACAGGAGGGACGTGTCCGTGAAGCCACCGGTGGGGCGGAGCCCTCCCAGAGGACCTGGCCGTGGGGCTGGACGCTGTCCAGGGTTCCTGCCGCACCGCACCGAGTTCCGGGCCTCGTCGTGCTGGCCTTTGAAAGGGTCCTCCAGGCCCCTTTGTTAGGGCACAGCCACTGCCCCCAGGGAGTTAGTGGCCCGTCCCCCCAGGACACACAGGCCGGTCCACGTGAAGCCTTCCCGGGAGAGGCCGGGCTGGGCGGAGGCACGCCGGCCCCCTGCAGCACGCGGGGTGCGAGCACTGGGCTTTTACGCCCTAGGAGGGCCGACCGCTCCCTTCACCCCGACCTGCCTGGACCCGCGCCCCGTCCACGGGTGTCGCCGGCCATGCGGAAGCAAAGCCCACGAAGAGGCCCTGAGGTGCCTAGAAGCCAGGGCGGGAGGTGCTCAGCCAGGGCATCGCTGGGACACTAAGAGCCCTTCCCCGGAACTCGCCATCTTTCCCATTTGAAACATTGTCCGAAGGAGGAGCAGCACCCCATCTTCACGCCAGACCGACCTGTGTGCCAGAGGGCGGGTCCCGTGTCCTCCAGCCTCATTTACGGAGGCCCGTGGGGCCAAACAGGACTGGGAAGTCTGGCCGAAGCACACCTGCGCCCCAAACGCCAGGCCACACTAGACGCACAGAGGCTGCCTGGGCTCCCCAAAGGTGCCGCTGTGGGCGGAGAGCCTCAGGGCGTCCTCTAAGCGGGACCTCTGTGTGCGCTAGGACGGGGCCCAGGACGGGGCCCAGCCCGGGGATGCTGGTCCCCAAAGCGCCTCTGCAGCAGGAGAGCGCAGGCGCACAGGGGGCCTGGGCTGTGGGCCGGCCCCTCCCTTCTGCAGGATCCCCCGACCCCCCAATGCCCCCGGCACCCAGAGGAGGCCGGGACCGGCCCTCTCCGGCAGAGCCTCTGTCCCGCGTGGTGGTTCCGGATTCTTCGGCCACCGCGAACTCGGTCCACGTCCAGCCCCAGCCCGGGCCGGCGGCGCTAAACGCCTTTCAAATACACTATCATCGAGCTTCTGGGACGATCGGATCGCTGAGGAGATAAAGCCTCGCGCCTGAGCTAGTGGTGCCGGCCCGTGTCTCAGAACCGGAAGCCCCCTCCCCGCGGTTCAGAACGGTCCGGAACGTTCCTCCTTCTGTGTCTCTGCAAATGCGCCAGGAAGTCAGAGGTAGGACGGACGGTTCTCCAAGAGCCGACCCCGCCCCCAGGCACCCTTAGGTCCGGGACCCAGCGTCGTCCCCGGTCCCCGGTACTCGCGCATGCTCAGTTCCTCCAGGGCTGTCACGCGGCTCTGGAAGGTGGGGAGCGGGGCACAAGCGGACAAGAGAAATATTTGGCGACCCAAAACCACGCTGGAAAAGCAAGCGTTCCAAGGGAGAAACGCGGAGGGAAAGGCGCGGTGGGGCGCCCCCATCTTTCCGCTGGGGTCCCCCGCCTGCAGCTCCCCCTGCAGCGGACCTCCGGCTGGCATTGGCTGGCTCTGCGCCCTGGCGCGCGCCACCGGGACTGAGCGAGGCTGGGACGCGCTAGGAGGTGGACGCACCGCGATGGGAGGACGTGGCACGCGCAGGGACATGGCGCCACGGCCGGCACGGGGCCTCTCGGTCCCCCATTCTTCCACAGCCCCGCCTCCGCCTGGGCCCCCGGAGCAGCGAGGGGAAGCCTGCACCCCCGTTTCCATCAAGCCTCTGCCACCAGTCTCCTCTGTCCCTGCGGCCCCAGATGGATTAGGGTCCCCAGGGAGGGCTCTGTGCAGCCACCAGGGTGAGGAGTGCTCAAGAATTTGCTCTAAGACAGTGTCCCCACTTCTGAACCCGCGACATCATGGAAAAGCGCGACGGGAATCTGAACCTCACCCGGTGGCGAAGGCCGCATCCCAGCATGCATTGCGTCTGTCCCCCAGCCCCTTCCTCGCCTGTGAAGCCGCGACAGCAGGACAATCTCCTGCCCTGGGACACCCTGGTGCCCTGAGCTAATCCAGAGAAACACGAGCCAGCGCCCCGCGCGCTCACCCCGCGCACTTGCCCCGCACGCTCGCTCCGCGCACTCCTGGGTCCTGCCAAGCCGCCGCCCAGCCCTTCTGCAGAGACCCTCGGGGACCGGCAGAGCCCCTGGAAGGCCTCCAAGGATCCCCCGTGCTTCCTCTCCAGGGTCGATGAGTACGATTTTTCCATAATCGCCAAATATGTGGTTCTGGCCAGAGCCGAGTGATGCTGCGGTGGCCCTGTGGGTCCAGCCACGGGGACCGCGCTCACAGGAAGGGAGGCCACGCGTGTCCTTGCACCAAGCCCTCCCAGAGCAGCGCCCACGGTCTCTTCCGTCCTCCAGGGCCACGGCCGCTTGCTGGAAAGCCTGTGGCCACCCGGCTGTTCTTCCAGAGGCAGTTTCCAGACCCGTCTCCCTTAAGCGCTTGCTCTCGTTCTGTGCGGGGACACAGCCCAGCCCCAGTATCCCCAGCACCCAAGCCGAGGAGCAGGCGTGAGGGGACTGTGCGGATCACCCGCTACTGTGCTGGCCGCGGCTCCGCACACCTTACACACAATGAGGCCTTGAAGACTGAGAGCTTGAAAGGAGGGAAAGTCAGGGTGCTTAAGGCCGACGTCCAGTCTGCTCTGCCCCCCGTCTTGGAAAGAGGCAGCAGGAAGCCTCGAGGACGCCGCGCTCCACACTCGGGGAGAGCTGGACAGCACAGTCCCCGCCAGTTCCAGGCGCCCTGAGCTTGGGGACGGGCAGCGGCGACTCTTTCTGGGGCAGGGGCCCGGTTCCCTTGTCGGCTCTCTGAGGCTTCCCGAGGCCAGGACTGCAGGGGCTGCTACACGTGACCCGCATGGTGGCTGTGCTTCCGGACCCCCTATGCCCTCGTCCTCCCCAGCGGAGACCCCTCAGCAAAGTGGCAAGAGGGCAGGCTGACCGGGCGCCAGTGCTGGGCAGGAACACAGCCCGCTCCGTGCCCATCCCCCACGTGGGAGCAGCTTCCAGCCTCTCCGGGCCACTCACCAGGAGGACAGAGTTGGACACCAGGCGTCAGGAGCCACTCCCCTTCGGGACCAAACCCCAGGTCAGAGAAATATCACCACAAGGGCTGACCCAGCGTGCAGAAGCCCAGGCTGTGACATCTGACTTCTCCCGGTGTCCTGCTGTGCCTGGTGAGGCCCTCCTTCTCGCCCCCCGCCCCCCGGGAGACACCATTTGTCACTGCCACAGGGTCTCTGATTTCAGCCTCCACGTGGCCGTGGCAGGCATGGGAAGCCGTCCTCCCAAGGGGGCAGGGAGCCTCGTTTCCTCGTTTCGGGGGAAGCGTCAGCAAGGTCAGGGCCCCACGCGTCCTGCTCAGCAGCAGCTGGGCCTACGGCTTCACAGTTTGCCAACAGTGGGAACTGACAAACTCGGGAACTGGTCCCTCTGATCACGGGGTAAAGACACAGTCCCACCCGAGCAGGATACCAGGTAACACCACACACACACACACACACACACCCCGCCATCACCGGCAAATGCACACCCACCAGCATGCTCACTTTCCAATTCCCGAGAAGTATGTCATCTGAACGGCCACCTGGCAGCCCAAAATCCCCATGGAAATCTGAGGTCCCCCCGGTGGGTTTCCCCAGCAACGGAGAAAAGCCTCACAGCTTCGATACTGCACAGCTTTCTCTAAAGGAAAAAAAAAAAAAAAGCCACAGCTTTAATTAAACTCGTTCAAGTCAATGATTCAGGAACAAACACATCTTTAAACTTGCAAAGGGCAGAAACGCAGAGCAAACTTCATATGTCATTCAGACAACAGGAATTTTCTCCACATTGCGAAATCTAAAACGTCTCGATCTTGCCAAAAAAGTGTAACTCTCTCTGCGGAGGCATCTTCGAAGCTGTTTGGCCGGAAATGGTGCAATTGCTTCCCCTGAAAACTGGGATAAACAAATGGCAGCCAGAGAACCACGCTGCCCATGGGGTCCTCTGAATGCACCCCCCGCACCCCCGCGTCCTGGGGGTGGGCTGTGGGGCGTGAACCACCACCCTGGAGACCCGCACCGCCTCCGTCTAGACGGACTCTGAA